GGGCTTTCCTTGGGTTAAATACATCAAAATGACATAGTCCCTTCCAATTCATGCATCACTTTCCAAGACACAGTGCAACTGGAAATGTTTTTGCCATCACAGTGGCTATTTCTAAAAGCCAATGCTTAGGGATGCTCCTGAACCTTAAAAATAAAAAGAAGTAACAGGCACCAGAGTTTTCTAAGGATGGCTGTGTTTCACACACTGCGCATAGATAAGAAAAACAGCCTTCTAGAGTTTCAATCCGCACTGTAAATGGATTTCATCTCCCTCAGTCTGCTTGCTGACTTCTCAGAGCACTTGATCAGAAGCCTGTTTTCACTGGTTCTTTGCTAACTGCTGTTGGTACTTTGTAGGCTACACATTTAAACTTCTGTAAAGAACATTGCAAGCTATTTCATGTAATTTAAGTTTGTGCTGAATATTCTTCAAAGGATTTTATAAATAATACAATATTTTAAATGAGTCTTCAAATTCACTTGTTGTTATACCATATTGTTGCTTTCTCCAACTTTATCTACAAACTGTAAGGAGAAGAAAAACAGAACATTAAAGAAAGCCTACAGCGTTATAGAACATCATATCAACACTTCAAATGTTGATTTAAAAAATCAGCTTCACAACAAGTTTCGTGGAAATTTAAGGTATGACTGACAATGATTAATCTAGTATTACTCACCACCATCTTTCTGACACATAAATGTATATAAAATTTTTTTCTAAAAGTTGTGTTTGCATGACATGTTATACATATGAATTTAAGGGTGCAACATGAAAAATGCGACACAATGAATAAAAAAATTGTATAAAATGAAGTTAACACTGCTAGCTTAACAAAAAATACAAACTTGAAATGTCAGCCACTCATGCATTAATGAACCCAATAAGATATTTCCACTGACCATTACTGTGGATCTCTTCTGGGCCTACGTAGTCTTTGAACAAACAGATTGAACTCCATTAAGTTCAATTATTAACAACAGCTATCAACTAAAAATACTTTAAATGTGTATTCTGGACTTCAGACTGAAAGTGACAATGGCATTAAAACATTTAATGATGCAAACATAAATTTACAATCATTAAATATAAATTTTAACACACATTAATGTAAATGGTTATTTATTTTGGTTACTCCACCCCAAATAAAAAGCAGTTTGGCTTTCTTCAGCATTCCATATGGTGATGTAAAGATTAAAACAAAGAGCATCATTAGTGGCAATATCAAAAGTTATATAACCAGGGGCCAGGGATTTAGCTCAGTGGTTCCGGCGCCTGCAAGCACAAGGTCCCAAGTTTGATCCCTGATACCAAAAAAAAAAAGTTATATAACCAAAATGGTTATAAAATTATCAAATTCTATCAATCATCTAACCATTTCTTTTATTTTGCTTCACATTCTTAAACACTGTAATGAAGGGATAATGACAGGAAACATGTATTTTGTGTCCATCTATGCAAATAATGCAGAATTCTTAAATTTAGGACACAAACAACAATTATAAATCTAACTAGAAGTTTCAGTAAATACAAAATTTATTCTAAATATAAACATTACTACCATGTGAGATTGGAGATAGATGGCAAATGAAATCAGGATATACCCCTAAAAGCCTAGGAATCAGCACTTCATATTATCACAAATAAGTAAATGATACACTAAAAGTTGCCCCAAAAGTATTCATGGACTCATTAGAATTTCAAGGTAAATTTCAGTGAAGAAAAAGTACAATATTCTCTCTCCAAATTTAACATCCCATATTTTGGATGTCTTAGCTCCAAGTTTCTGACACTAAAATTAACCTGTGGATAGAAATGGGATTAGGCGTTTTCCGGTGGGTAAGGAATCCTTTTACCTCTTTGAGAATTCAACTACTGCTATGGATCTTCTCTCTGGAAACATCTATAAAAATCTGTAAATAACTTTAGGAAGCAGAGAGACTCCTTGGACCCAACTAGAACATGAGGTCTTTTTAACATCCACCCCCGCCCCCACCCACCTGCCAGGGATTGAACTCAAGACCTTGCCCTTTCCAGGTAGGTGTGGCGCCACTGAACTACATCCCAGCCCAACATGTCTTTAAAGTCTGTTTATCCTCATTGTTCAGGATAGATTTGAAACTATAAAAGTGATCCAAAAAGGTGTATGCTGCAGTGATACTTCTGATCTGGGTCAGATCTAGAGCCAAAAAGATTCTCTTCAGCTCTGCTGAATGACAGATGATCCAGATTCTCTAAGAATTTAAGGATCTCATTTTGTGTTAAAATTTCAGGAGGCAGGCTAAAAGTCCCTGAAGTTGTTGTGAGATAAGTTCTCTGCAGTAAACAAGATACTACCCTTCACTCATTCAGCGTTTTTGTGGTGGTGGTGGAGATCGAACCCAGAGCTCCATGCGTGCTAGGCAAATGGTCTACCACTGAGCTACATCCTCAACCCTTCAAACTGTTCTGAATTTCCATTCTATGCCAGTGTTACACTGGGTACATGGAATAGGAAGAATGAATCAAATACAATCCATGTCTGCCCTCTAGGACTGTAGCTTCATGTAGAAGCCTTTTTTTGACAATTAAAGCAGTGGTAAATGCTATGAAAGAGGTGTGCACAGGAATGCTATAAAGTTCATTCTGAACCAATGATAGGGAGCCTGAAGGGCTTTTTCTGAGGAGGCATTAAAGAAGTTGAATCCTGAAAGGCCTTCTAAGCCTCTACCATAAGATGGGACAATCCTCATTCAAACTAGCAGCATGAAGTATCAAACATTAGCTGAATGAAACTTCATCTGTCAACTTCTAAAAAATGTTCTCTTTAACTTTTACTTTCTATGTGATTTGACTATTTTATCAAGATCCAACAAGCTTGTTCAAACCACAGAGAGAACTGGAGCAGAGCTTATCATCTTCTTCCCAGTTTAATATTGCTTGAACTGTCGTAGCCACACTATTTGATGAAATGATCTAAGAATATATTTGCAAGTAAAAATGGTTTCCTTTTTATACTACTGTATCTTAATTTAGGGATTATATACAAGTTAATTAAAAAATGTCTTGAACTCTCAAAGAGAAAAGCAGCGCATCTTTTCAATCTAAATAACATTAAAAATAGAGAATAATATTAAAAATGGTAATGGTGAAAGAAAATTTTAGGTTTTATAGGTTTAGCAATGATTATTTTGTGGTATTTTTGGTAGTCATGATCTCAGTGATGTAATCATTTATATCATAATGAAAAACTCATAATTTAATCATGTAACTACTCATTTCTAAAAGTAAAAAGCATCAAAATGTATTCATTTTTGTGGTTTACAAATATATTGCTAAATACAAGATTACTTACCGATCTGATTCCAGGTAAATTTAAGAGGGATCCAAGTACTGGCACTCTTCTAATAAAGCCAACAACCATAGGAAAGAAGCCCCTGAGAGACAGAAAAAAACCAGTATTTTCTATGACCAAGATCAATCATTAACCAAGTAAAAAGAAAGGACTCTATTATAGTTGTGAATGTTGTAGGGACTTCAAACTTAGAATCCCAAACTACTACAAATGTAAACATTTTTGATTACTGGCACAACGTGAGCAGAGTGTAATGAGATGTAGCTGTGTTGTACGCTCAGATGGAGTTATCTCAGTTCAACTGCCGAAGGTTTCCAATCTTAAGATTCTACGTTCAGCACTACATCAAGAGCCTCTGAACTGGCTTAATTGCCCTCAGTTTTTCTTTGTTCAATACAATCTTTTAAAAACAGCAATCTGGCTATGTCACTTCTAACTTAAAAATCTTTGTGCTCCCTACCCATCCTCAACACTGTTCAGATTTGGTAAGAAAATAAAGTAACAAGATATTCAAAAAAAGTCTACAGCCTCATTCCAGACTTCCATTTTACTCTCACTGCCAACCACGTCCTTTCATTTATCCCATGTTCCAGTCTTGTGGACTGGTCATTCTCTTTGGTAAAGCTGTGTATTTTCCAGAACCTCTCTGCTCTTTCTGTCAGTCAAATGTTCTTTCTTTTTTCATCCATGGGATGGATTCTTCTTACCCATTCTTTAAGGTCCTGTTTATCAGTTAATTTTCTTACCTCTGCCTGATTTTATTAATTCTTTCCTTAAATCTGTTATTGTAACACTTTACACATACACTTATAACTGTATCCTACTGGTATCTTTACAGTCTATTTTCCACTTTAGAAACAAGAAATTCCCTAAAGTAGGGTTGGTACTTAATTACCTTTTATGGCTGTTGTGTGTAACATACCCAGTAGAAGAAGGCAAAGGCTATGGATTTCTCAAATAATGAAGGCCAACTATACTTACAGGCATTTTTTTTTTCCCAAATAAACCAACTTGAATAGATATTATTTTGTATTTATATAGAGCCTTCTTCAAGAACCTTAAGTGCTTTACGGACATTATTTCTAATCAATCCCCACAACAGCCCTGTGAGGTAGGTACTACTCCCATTTTACAAGACAGGGAGACTGAAGCACAGAGGTAGGTGACCTGCCCATGGTCACACAGTAAGTTCACTGAAGAGTCAGGACCTGAGCACCTTAGCCTCCCAGCTCCTGGCCAAACACCTCAGGAGACAATCTTTAGTGAAAAATATCTTTAAAATACAATATCAAAAGTAGTATGTTATGAAAATGAGGTCTTCCTACTGCCATCAAAGAAAGAAAACAACCTATAGTGATGGTTAAAGCCACAAGACCATTTAGTGCAACATCTTCCCTGCCCTTTCCTAAGGCTCCTGAAATTGGTAAACTTTCCAAGGCAGAGCCATATGACTTAGAAGTGGAACTTAATTTAGAATATTTACTTTTAGTTAAGGTAATTTATAGAAATCTTTATTCCAATGTACAAAATATGGGACAGCTGCCCCAACAAACATGTACACAGTTACGTAGCAATCAGCCCCATTCCCAATTTTGACCCGCCCCACATTCACTCACAGCCAACCCGCACTTTTTCAAATGCATCTTGTTTATTTACTGCTAACTGGCATTTCAAAATATTGACCCAAATCTCCCACAGTGTATTTGGTACAGAATTTCCTATGTACATACAATAAACAAATTGCCATCAAATGGACTGCCATTTGAATTATGAAGTATTAGGTTTTACATATTAAAATTCTGGATCTATCTTTCGATCACTGCTCAGTTCATGAAAATATCAAACAAAGACTGCCAATAAAATGATTTTTATTGTGTTGAAAATACTTTAAAAGACAGTTTACCCTTATTTAGGCAATCATTTATATTTGATAAACATTTTTATAGTAGACTGATCTAAAACTAATAAAAGATTCAAGCTAAACAAAAATTAAAATGATTGTCTTACCTGAACAAGAGAAAGAATCCATAAATTTCGAAGATCATGCCTATCAAAGGCCAACCAATAAGGACTACAAATACACCACCCAGAAAAAATCCTGTAGCTTTCATTTTATGTTTTTGGAAGAAAAATCTGAATGTTCTTTCTAAACCAATTACAAAGGCCAAGCCAGCCACAAATAAAACCTAAGAGAAAAAATGCAACATAGAGAAAGTAGTTAAACACACTGCATAAATTT